CTCTTTGTTGCCTCTCTGATTAATGCCCTCCTTGCCTGGTCCGTGAGTTTTGGTGGGCGGCCCTCTCTTGGCAGGTTTGTTGTGGTGCCATATTCTTTCAATTTTTTTATAATGGATTTAATGGTGCTCCGTGGATATTTTTTTATAACCCAACCCTGATGTGTACTTCTCCACAACTTTGTCCCTGACCTGTTTGGAGAGCTCCTTGGTCTTCATGGTGCCGCTTGCTTGGTGGTGCCCCTTGCTTAGTGGTGTTGCAGACTCTGGGGCCTTTCAGAACAGGTGTATACAGTGGGGAGAACAAGTATTTGATACACTGCCGATTTTGCAGGTTTTCCTACTTATAAAGCATGTAGAGGTCTGTAATTTTTATCATAGGTACACTTCAACTGTGAGAGACGGAATCTAAAACAAAAATCCAGAAAATCACATTGTATGATTTGTAAGTAATTAATTTGCATTTTATTGCATGACATAAGTATTTGATCACCTACCAACCAGTAAGAATTCCGGCTCTCAGAGACCTGTTAGTTTTTCTTTAAGAAGCCCTCCTGTTCTCCACTCATTACCTGTATTAACTGCACCTGTTTGAACTCGTTACCTGTATAAAAGACACCTGTCCACACACTCAATCAAACAGACTCCAACCTCTCCACAATGGCCAAGACCAGAGAGCTGTGTAAGGACATCAGGGATACAATTGTAGATCTGCACAAGGCTGGGATGGGCTACAGGACAATAGGCAAGCAGCTTGGTGAGAAGGCAACAACTGTTGGCGCAATTATTAGAAAATGGAAGAAGTTCAAGATGACGGTCAATCACCCTCGGTCTGGGGCTCCATGCAAGATCTCACCTCATGGGGCATCAATGATCATGAGGAAGGTGAAGGATCAGCCCAGAACTACACGGCAGTATCTGGTCAATGACCTGAAGAGAGCTGGGACCACAGTCTCAAAGAAAACCATTAGTAACACACTACGCCGTCATGGATTAAAATCCTGCAGTGCACGCAAGGTCCCCCTGCTCAAGCCAGCGCATGTCCAGGCCCGTCTGAAGTTTGCCAATGACCATCTGGATGATCCAGAGGAGGAATGGGAGAAGGTCATGTGGTCTGATGAGACAAAAATATAGCTTTTTGGTCTAAACTCCACTTGCCATGTTTGGAGGAAGAAGAAGGATGAGTACAACCCCAAGAACACCATCCCAACCGTGAAGCATGGAGGTGGAAACATCATTCTTTGGGGATGCTTTTCTGCAAAGGGGACAGGACGACTGCACCGTATTGAGGGGAGGATGGATGGGGCCATGTATCACGAGATCTTGGCCAACAACCTCCTTCCCTCAGTAAGAGCATTGAAGATGGGTCGTGGCTGGGTCTTCCAGCATGACAACGACCCGAAACACACAGCCAGGGCAACTAACGAGTGGCTCCGTAAGAAGCATCTCAAGGTCCTGGAGTGGCCTAGCCAGTCTCCAGACCTGAACCCAATAGAAAATCTTTGGAGGGAGCTGAAAGTCCGTATTGCCCAGCGACAGCCCCGAAACCTGAAGGATCTGGAGAAGGTCTGTATGGAGGAGTGGGCCAAAATCCCTGCTGCAGTGTGTGCAAACCTTGTCAAGACCTACAGGAAACGTATGATCTCTGTAATTGCAAACAAAGGTTTCTGTACCAAATATTAAGTTCTGCTTTTCTGATGTATTAAATACTTATGTCATGCAGTAAAATCCAATTAATTACTTAAAAATCATACAATGTGATTTTCTAGATTTCTGTTTTAGATTCCGTCTCTCACAGTTGAAGTGTACCTATGATAAAAATTACAGACCTCTACATGCTTTGTAAGTAGGAAAACCTGCAAAATCGGCAGTGTATCAAATACTTGTTCTCCCCACTGTATATACTGAGATCTTGTGACATTTAGATTGCACACAGGTGGACTTTATTTAACTAATTATGTGACTTCTGAAGGTAATTGTTTGCACCAGATCTTATGTAGAGGCTTCATAGCAAAGGGGGTGAATACATATGCACGAACCACTTTTCCATTATTTATTTTTTTGAAGTTCTTTTATTTTTTAGAAGTTCTTTTTTTCATTTCACTTCACATACACCATTTTGTGTATGTCCATTACATGAAATCCAAATAAAAATCAATTTAAATTACAGGTTGTAATGCAACAAAATAGGAAAAACACCAAGGGGGATGAATAATTTTGCAAGGAACTATAAGTGTTTCTTTATTGAACCTTAAGTTAAGAGTCCAAGTCCTACAGCATACCTAATTAAAGGAAATGTATGAATTCTACTTACAATAGATATCTTCCAGATAAATTCTCAATCTATATGCAAATAAAGATAATGTATTAGAAGAGTACATGTGCAGCATTGACAATATTCATTTGATCAGTGCCACTGGCTATATAACAAATGACTCTGAATGGAAATATGTGCAGATTGCTTAATGGTGGAATCTACAGGGATGCACAATCTGGGTGAATCAAATAACCTGACCTTGAGAAGATCACAAACCTCCTTAATAGAGAAATAACATCAGGACACCTCAGGACACCTCAGTATAATCCTTTTAATTCCCATGATGCATGTGTTCAGTCAGTGGAGCTTTGGTGAGGGGATGAGCATGAACATTACAGTTCATTTACACTAAGGATACATGCAGACATGCTCAATAGCGGTGTGCATCCATCATTTGATGAAGGAGAACACTAATAAAGTACTGCACTCTTAGAAAACAAGGCGCTATCGAGAACCTAAAAGGGTTCTTCGGCTGTCCCCATAGGAAGACCCTTTGAAGAACCCTTTTGGGTTCCCTTTCCCCAGAGGGTTCTACCTGGAACCAAAAGGGTTATTCTATGGGGACAGCTGAAGAACCCTTATGGAAAAAAAAATTCTTACAGTGTGTATAATTGACAGCCCATGGACTCAAAATCACAACATATTAGTTTTTTTACTGTAAGCCTACAGATTTTACCCTGAATGTGCATTTGACGGTTGACGGTGTCGACATCAGAGGGGAAACTGAACTGTTTGATGTATGCCGCCCTTCCTCCGTACTGCTGCAAAGAGCTTTACTTCACATAGCACAGATCTCACTATTAGAACCAGAGAAAAATCTGACAGATAAGAACAGAGCTGGAACACCGTCTCACATCTAATTAAAATAGAAGCGTCAGCTCCCAAAAATATTTATAGACTAGTTTGTTATGTAAGAAAAAGTTGACTGCTTTGATTCTACAGAATGTGAACGTTGAACAGCACTTGGTGTGCATGCGAGACAGTGAGTGAGAGACCATGCTTGGAATAGCAGAGGTCAGACTTGCAGACATAAAGTCAAATGTTGGGCCCAACAGACAGACACACAAGCATGAGCAGAAAACAAACAGATGTAGCCTTCCCCTTTTCACAAAGCAGAGCATGATGGAGAGGGGGGTTCTATGGTACAGAGGTGATGAGAGAGCCATACCAGACCAGAGGACAGTGATTTATGACCAGTCTATGGTGGGGCAACGCTGGGATCACTCTGCAGCTCTCCTGACAATGCCTACCATGGTGGGTTACCCATGATGGAGTATCTGTTGACCCAGCAAGGCATCACCAATCATACCTTACCACCTCTAACCGGCCACCAGAGAGGTATGGATGCTTTTCTGCCATCAGCTCTGACAATCAAACACTTGGCTCTCCATGAAAATAATGATAATACTAAGGGATAAGAGCTGCAATTGGAAGTATGTAATTAATTACTCAACCATAGCACATTTCTGACACCAAAAACAAAAGTTGGATAGCAAGTCGTGATTTCAAGCTCGTTTTTTTCTCCAAAACACACTCTACATGCCCTTTTACCTGCCATTGATGGGGGCGTTGTTTTGTTTGTTTGTGGTAATGCTATGCACTCGCCTTGTTCCCCTGCCAAGCCACAGAGCAGGCTTTCCACTGAGTTGTGCTGCTTCCCTGCCTGCATGTCTGTCTGTCTGTCTCCAGACTTAGAGACTCCACTCACTGAGAATGCCTCTGGTTAGAAACTGCATTAACCGCTCCTTGTTGGAGAGACTTAAAAAGAAAGGAACAGGTTGGATGGGAGACATTAAAGTTGAGTCAAAGGTAACCTGCTGATGCGAACTAAAATCACAAAACACAAATCAATGGATCCGTTTTCCCTTGAGTGAGGAGTCTTGTTAATGTACAGAATAAGATACAGCAATGTAAAACTGTTCTGTTCTTCATTAACTGACTGAAGGCCGGGGTAAAGAATCCATGGACACAGCGACTTCAGATATGACTCAAGGGTTAATTAGAGCAAGCTACACAACTCCAGGGGACAAATAAAATAAAAGGAGAAATCAGATGAGTAGAGAGCTGGCACCTGGCTTGGCACCAAACCCATTAACATCTGATCTTTAGTCCCAGAGCAATAGCATCCGGTATCACAATAAAGGTCATCCAATTACAGTCCCACAGTAAGATGGGGTTTGCACGGTATGAACCACAAGCGAAATCTCAATCACTATTTTTCTTTACCAGGAATTACCCAGAATATGATCACAAATGTGTAGCCTGATGACTCGCACCGAAGTATTTCTGCTGCTCTGTCATTCGCTACGTAGTTTAGTATGAGACTGCCATCATAGAAGTTGTTTGTGGTGACGAGGGGTGTTGTACAAAACAAAGTAATCAGCGATTGGATCATCTCTAACCAATCAGCCATAGCCAATGACACATTTTCAAACCGCCGCTTTACCCACTGTGACCAATCAGATGGCCCCGAATGTGTTCACATTCAGTGAAGGGTCAGGGAGGTACTCAGAACCAGACTTATTGTAGAGAAGAAACTAAGGTCTGTGGGCGTGGCGTAGCATTTGGCCAGAGCAAGGGTAGCCAGGCAATGCCACTTGACAGACAAGTTATTTTATTCACCATTCTCGGTGTTCGCATGATGACACATTCAGCTTCTACAGTGAAAACTAGGAAAAAAATAATCCTAGCACCACTGAGAGGAATTAAGCAGCCCCTGAGTTGTGTTCCTGCTGCTCTGTTCTTCATTGACTGACTGTGGCCCCTGGGGGTCCACCTTGGTCTGCTTCCTGTTGTGATCTGAGTAACTCTGTTAGAGAACACTAAACACAGGTAATCCTCCATTTACGGCGCCAAAGCAACAGGGCGGGAGGGAGGGTAGGGAGCAGGTTCCCTCACCTGGGGTTAGGGCGGAGCCCATATTCTGCCACCTGCAGAGAAGTAATGGGGCTTATAGGAAATTATAGAAAACACACCAAAGATAAACTCAGCAAAAAAAGAAATGTCCCTTTTTCAGGACCCTGTCTTTCAAAGATAATTAGTAAAAATCCAAATAACTTCACAGATCTTAATTGTAAAGGGTTTAAACACTGTTTCCCATGCTTGTTCAATGAACCATAAACAATTAATGAACATGCACCTGTGGAACGGTCGTTAAGACACTAACAGCTTACAGACGGTAGGCAATTAAGGTCACAGTTATGAAAACGTAGGACACTAAAGAGGCCTTTCTACTGACTCTGAAAAACACCAAAAGAAAGATGCCCAGGGTCCCTGCAAATCTGCGTGAATGTGCCTTAGGCAATAAATTGCAATGTCCATACTGTGAGACGCCTAAGACAGCGCTACAGGGAGACAAGACGGACAGCTGATCGTCCTCGCAGTGGCAGACCACGTGTAACAACACCTGCACAGGGTCGGTACATCCGAACATCGCACCAGCGGGACAGGTACAGGATGGCAACAACTGCCTGAGTTACACCAGGAACGCACAATCCCTCCATCAGTGCTCAGACTGTCCGCAATAGGCTGAGAGAGGCTGGACTGAGGGCTTATAGGCCTGTTGTAAGGCAGGTCCTCACCAGACATCACCGGCAACAACGTCGCCTATGGGCACAAACCCACCGTCAGACAGGACTGGCAAAAAGTGCTCTTCACTGACGAGTCGCGGTTTTGTCTCACCAGGGGTAATGGTCAGATACACGTTTATCGTCGAAAGAATGAGTGTTACACCGAGGCCTTTACTCTGGAGCAGGATCGATTTGAAGGTGGAGGGTCCGTCATGGTCTGGGGCAGTGTGTCACAGTATCATCGGACTGAGCTTGTTGTCATTGCAGGCAATCTCAACGCTGTGCGTTACAGGGAAGACATCCTCCTCCCTCATGTGGTACCCTTCCTGCAGGCTCATCCTGACATGACCCTCCAGCATGACAATGCCACCAGCCATACTGCTCGTTCTGTGCGTGATTTCCTGCAAGACAGGAATGTCAGTGTTCTGCCATGGCCAGCGAAGAGCCCGTATCTCAATCCCATTGAGCACATCTGGGACTTGTTGGATCGGAGGTTGAGGGCTAGGGCCATTCCCCCCAGAAATGTCTGTGGAACTTGTTCAGTTTGTGTCTCAGTTGTTGAATATGGTTATACAAATATTTACACGTACATTTTGCTGAAAATAAATGCAGTTGACAGTGAGAGGACATTTCTTTTTTTGCTGAGTTTATTAGTTAAGTCACCTGAATATACACTGACATCTGGACTCAACACGGGATGGTTTAGTCATCCTAACCTAGACAATACAGGAACAAAATTGGATGAAGATATTCAGGGAGGCTAAAATAGTTTCTGCCCTTTCTCTGTAGCACCATTGCTGTTAGAGGATCAGGGTAATACTGATGTTTTAGAACATCCTATCTCATCACCGTCAACAATACCCAAGACCAATGAGCATAGAGAACATTTTGTAAATTTCATTTTTTTTTAAACAATATTCAAAAAATAAAAACACAGACCTATTCCAGTTCATTGCATTATCTGAATGGGTAACAATGTAACATGGTAATAAGACAACTAAGTTCAGGTTTAGTGACTGTACAAATCTCAAAAGAACACTGCTGCCACCCAATGGAGAGTTGCCGAACATCATTTGTCTGACAGTCCATTATAGCACACATTTCTAATCTAATAGTACACATATTTCACAGAAATAAACCACAGACGCAATTTCAAGTAGATTTTATATTTTACTTTTAAAAAATGTGTACACACAGAGTATAAACCAAATGAGGAAAGGAATAAGTCCATGTAAAAAGGCTGTGTTAAAATAAATGACAGTGTGTAGCTGGAACCGGACGGTGGCGTACAACAAGTATTCTACAATGCCAGATCCGGCTGCAATAACACTACACATCAGCCACACACACACACAACACATGGCAAAACAAAAACCTACATCCCTTAAAAGGATTGATTAGGAGGTCAAAGACAGCTTGCTGTTTGGGTTGAGTCTGTAGAGCAACTTAGCACCAACACCACTGCTTCTCCCCCTCTCCTGCCATCTTACATTAATTCAGTCTCTCTCAGATCATCTGGCTCTGTCAGTACTGTGGTGGGGGGGTGGGGCAATGATGGGTGAATGGTCCTCCAACAAGCATAGAGAACACTGCAGAAATATGGAGGCCCTAGCGGTCTCCCTACAGCTCCATTGTCTGAACAGTTACGGCTACGGACAGATTGCATTGCTGGTAAGTCCTGGTAGTACAGTGAAGTGGGCCCACAGATACAGTAAGAGGTGAGCTCAGTCCAAAAGGTCCGCTAGGGTTTGGCAGGCACATTAACTCGACCAATGTTCCCCATACATACAAACACAGGGACACAGTCAGGAGTGGGTGATCTGGGGGTTTGTTCAGCAGAACAGAACGGTGTGCAGCGTTTGATTCAACGGAAACGGTGCTGTTCTGAACAACCAGTTGAAGAATGTTGAGTATGGTGGTACGGAGGGCGATTGTGTATGGTGTGCTGCATTAGTTTTGCGATTTCAAAAGGTCACGCCCATATTGATCAGGCCACACCCACCAACAGCAAACATAGCTCAAAGATGGTTGAAGAACGGTGTGCACCGTTTTGGGTAAATGTGTCATTCCGTACAAACCTTCAGTGACTCACTCAACTTAGCTAAATGTTTGATAGACTGAACAGGAAGAAAGGTCAGTCCAGCTCTTTGAAGCGTGCGAACATGGCCTTGCGCACCGCTTGTTTGTAGGTGGCATGATTCCAGACAACAGGCTCCTTTTTCTTCCTCTGTGGGAGAGAAGAAGAGAAGAAACAAAAGGGTTAAAATCACCACCAAGCTTTAAATAAAAAAACAACAACTGGGGTAAAAATCACCAAGAAACCCACCTGGACAACAGACTGAAAAATAAAGATGTTATAGACGTACCTCAACAGGCTCGGAGCCTAACCCCGGCCTCTCACTGCCTTTATGCATGTCCCTGGAGCCACCGACCCAGCTATTCTGGTGTTGATGTTTCCTTCTCTTCTGTTCTGGGGAGCCGTTGGACTCTCTGGCACTCAGCTGTGGGACAGATTACAGACATCATTCATATAATATGTCAACAACACTTACTGAACATAGTTGCATTGAGAATCTGAGGTTATAGAGAGATTAAGTGAGGCAACTACAATTAAGCTTTTCACAACTATTGAACTGCTTTACGGCTACATATCAAATGTGTAAAAGGTGATAAAAATAAAATAAAAATCAAGCCTCCCCTGACCTCTTTCTCCTGGTTCTCCAAAGCCTCCAGCTCTTTCTTTGATCTCTTGATCTTCATGTGGATCTCCATGTTTTGCTTGTGGAGGTCTGAGAGCTGCTGGTGGCGCAGCAGGCCGTCCTTATTGGGGAACTGTCTCCTACACAGCAGGCAGGCCATCTTCTTCCAGTCTGTCAGCTTGTCTTCCTTCTCCTGAGACTGACTCCTAGAGGCCTGAGGATCCTCATGCTGCACCACCTCCTCCTCCTCGTCACTGCCTGTTGCTGCGTAGTCTGACGCCAGCAGGCCCAGAGAGCCAATGGACTGCTGGGGAGGGAGGGGAGCAGGAAGTTCAGAAACAACATCACCGGGGAGGGAGACAACACCCCACAGACATTATGGATTGGAATCAAATTCATCCCTTCTTTCCCTAGTTCATGCAGAACAGAACATTGTTGGCTTTGGGCAGTGACCTCACCAATCAATCAATCTCACCTTTGAGCCCTTCCCCTCTTTCTTGGGAGGAGCCATAGGCTTCTTGAAGAGGTCGTCTCCGCCCTGTTTGGGGAAACAGAGAAGAGGGCCAGTGAAATTAACAGATTTAATTACACACCATTGCGTTGAAGTGCATGTATGTTAGAGGTTCCCGGTACTCACCTTCCTCTCGAAGATGGTGAAGGCTGCGTCAGCTGCCTTGGAGGACTTCCTGTCGTCCAGCCCGCCCCCGGAGGTCTTCAGTACAGGTGAGGGAACACGGACGCTGTCCTTCTGACGGTTCTGGATCTTAGCCCAGCGCTCCATATCCTTCATGATCTGAGACAGACATACAGTTGAAGTCGGAAGTTTACATACACCTTAGCCAAATACATTTCAACTCAGTTTTTCACAATTCCTGACATTTAATCCTAGTAAAAATTCCCTGTCTTAGGTCAGTTAGGATCACCACTTTATTTTAAAAATGTGAAATGTCAGAATAATAGTAGAGAGAATGATTTATTTCAGCTTTTATTTATTTCATCACATTCCCAGTGGGGTCAGAAGTTTACATACACTCAATTAGTATTCGGTAGCATTGCCTTTAAAATGTTTAACTTGGGTCAAACGTTTTGGGTAGCCTTCCACAAGCTTCCCACAATAAGTTGGGTGAATTTTGGCCTATTCCTCCTGACAGAGCTGGTGTAACTGACTCAGGTTTGTAGGCCTCCTTGCTCGCACACGCCTTTTCAGTTCTGCCCACACATTTTCTATAGGATTGAGGTCAGGGCTTTGTGATGGCCACTCCAATACCTTGACTTTGTTGTCATTAAGCGATTTTGCCACAACTTTGGAAGTATTCTTGGGGTCATTGTCCATTTGGAAGACCCATTTGCGACCAAGCTTTAACTTCCTGTCTGATGTCTTGAGATGTTGCTTCAATATATCCACATAATTTTCCTTCCTCATGATGCCATCTATTTTGTGAAGTGCACCAGTCCGTCCTGCAGCAAATCACCCCCACAGCATGATGCTGCCACCCCCATGCTTCACGGTTGGGATGGTGTTCTTCGGCTTGCAAGCAACCACCTTTTTCCTCCAAACATAACGATGGTCATTATGGCCAAACAGTTCTATTTTTGTTTCATCAGACCAGATGACATTTCTCCAAAAAGTACGATCTTTGTCCCCATGTGCAGTTGCAAACCATAGTCTGGCTTTTTTATGGCGGTTTTGGAGCAGTGGCTACTTCCTCGCTGAGCGGCCTTTCAGGTTATGTCGATATAGGACTTGTTTTACTGTGGAAATAGATAATTTTGTACCTGTTTCCTCCAGCATCTTCACAAGGTTCTTTGCTGTTGTTCTGGGATTGATTTGCACTTTTCGCACCAAAGTACGTTCATCTCTAGGAGACAGAACGCGTCTCCTTCCTGGGCGGTATGACGGCTGCGTGGTCCCATGGTGTTTATACTTGCGTACTATTGTTTGTACAGATGAACATGGTACCTTCAGGCGTTTGGAAATTGCTCCCAAGGATGAACCAGACTTGTGGAGGTCTACCATTTTTTTTCTGAGGTCTTGGCTGATTTCTTTTGATTTTCCCATGATGTCAAGCAAAGAGGCACTGAGTTTGAAGGTAGGCCTTGAAATACATCCACCAGGTACACCTCCAATTGACTCAAATTATGTCAATTAGCCTATCAGAAGCTTCTAAAGCCATGACATCATTTTCTGGAATTTTCCAAGCTGTTTAAAAGGCACAGTCAACTTAGTGTATGTAAACTTCTGACCCACTGGAATTGTGATACAGTGAATTAGAAGTGAAATAATCTGTCTGTAAACAATTGTTGGAAAAATTACTTGTGTCACGCACAAAGTAGATGTCCTAACCGACTTGCCAAAACTATAGTTTGTTAACAAGAAATTTATGGAGTGGTTGAAAAACAAGTTTTAATGACTCCAACCAAAGTGTATGTAAACTTCCGACTTCAACTGTACGTGTTAACCATCTATGAGGTGGTGTATTTGGGCAGGAGGGTTGTTCCTATAGCTTCATTACACATGACTATATTGTGGTAATGTGGGTCAACCTTGAAAGCGGCTAGGCTCCTGGGTTTCTCCTCTTTCTCTCCTGGTTTGTCTTTCTTGTCAAGGCTGCGAGGTGTGGTGTCCTCCTCCTCTCTCCTCTCTGGGGAAGGGTTGGGGTTAGGGGCAGGAGTGGGGTTCGGGATCTGGGGAGGGTCGAAGTGAGGGGTTGGCTCTGGTCTCTTCATGTCCAGCGGAGCGTCTGCTGCTGGATTGGCCAGAATGGCCTGTACGTCGGGTGCCAAGGCAACACCAGACTGGGCAATGGGGAGCTGGGTGTCTGCAGAGTGTCCTCCGGGAACAGGGATGTACGTCTTGGACACACTGTCCCAGTACAGGTACTCCTGGGTCTGGGCATTGTAGAAATACTGCGCGCGCGCACACACACACACACACACACACACACGTTGGACATGAAGGATGTGGAGTAGCACAGACACACCAAGGTAATTTCAAGAGAATATATCACACAAGTTACTGTGTAGAAGTCTTACCCTAGAGGCAGGGTCATAGTACAGGGTAGTCTGGGGATCGTAGTAGAACCCAGACGTGGCATCATACAGGTAGTTAGTCATGTCTGGAGTTTCAGTAGCTGGACAAATAAAAAACAGTCAGTTGTTACAGGAGTATGACAAGATGTAGATTCACATTCTTTCCACAGATTCACAAGTGCTTCTGAAGCTGCATATTCTCTGATGTCTGAGAGAGGCACTAGGCCTACTGTCTGGCCTTACCATAGCTGTAGCCATCAGTGCCATGGTCTCCTGTTGCTGCCATCCCCCCTGCTGCTGCAGCAGAGGAGACATGGGGGTCCAGAGCCTGGTGGTAGGGATCAATTGGTGGAGGCTCAGCATAGCCACCTCCCTAGGACGTGGAAAAGGGAAGCATTGGTAAGAAGAGCATTTCACACTGACACTCTTTCCTCTGTTTAAACTGTCAATCATTATCAATGTTTCTTTACTTTTGGATGAAGTGGTTTTATAATAGTCTGATGGTGTCTTACCGGAGTCATGCTGGAGTTGAAGTGAGAGACAGATGAATTGGAGAGAGGGTCTGAGCCCATCGGTCCGCCCAGATTGTCTCCTAGGTAAGAAATTATATAAATCATTTTCTTCCTGCTCATTTTCTACTCAACATGACCTGACGATTGAAGCATGTTGAGCTGAAAGGCCGACAACCACAGACCAAGACAATATTTGTTTGACAGATCCTGGAGGGCATACATTGTCAGGTAGAATAGTGTTTGAATGGAGATAATGACTAATGAGATAGGACTCACCTTGCATGTTGGGTGGGGGGCCTCCTGGTGGCTGGTTATGAGGTTGGGATGAATAGTACTGCTGCTGCTGGGATTAGGGCACAAAACACCACATTAGTTCTCAGTTGGTAGAGCATGGCGTTTGCAACGCCAGGGTTGTGGGTTCGATTCCCACGGGGGGCCAGTATGAAGAAAAAAAGTATATATGCACTCACTAACTGTAAGTCGCTCTGGATAAGAGCTTCTGCTAAATGACTAAAATGTAAAACCGAAAATGATACCAAACACCTAACTTACCTCCATCCTACTGGCCTCGGGTGGGTACCCCAGGAGAGAAGTGTTCGATTTATCAAACTCTTTTCTGTAGCTAGCAGGAGAAAAGACACCATCAAATCATCAGTGGTAAAAAAAAAATAACATCACTGTTCTTACATGATTTAGCTTGGTTACATGATATAACATGATTTAAGTTTGATATACGTGTCACTCACTTTTGGTTCTTCAGTGGCTTGGCAACCTCAGCGTAAACCCTGACCCCGTCGATAGAGAGAGGCCTGGGCTTGGTGAGGAGCTCTACCAGACGGGTCACTTGCTAGGATGGAAGAAAGGCAACGTCATGACATCCACAGCAGTAACATCCATTAAGCAGGGTACAACTCAGACATTCATACATTTCAGGTGGAAATGAGAGACAAAGTGGCCAACTGACATGTAATGGCAGCTATGTGATACCTCATGGGAGTCCATGTCTACGAAGCAGAAGCATTTGGCTCCCGGGGGTTTGCCTCTAACCAGACGAACGTTCCTCTCATCAAGGTAGGCGAAGGGGTCCAGGGCTTTCAGAATGGTCTCCACTGTAGTGGTGGGCTTCACATTCTTTATGATCATGGCTGTGAGGAAATAGAGGAAAACAAGCACATTGATCTTTCCTTACAAACAAACGTTTTAAATAAACAATCACACCAACTCCTTGATAAGGGTTCCCTACTCCAAACTATTCCAATTCTAAAGTCCCTACTCCCCAACTATTCCAATTCTAAACTCCCTGCTCCCCAACCATTCCAATTCTAAATTCCCTACACCCCAACTATTGCAATTCTAAACTCCCTGCACCCCAACCATTCCAATTCTAAATTCCCTACTCCCCAACTATTCCAAATTCCCTACTCCCCCAAACATTCCAATTCTAAATTCCCTACACCCCAACTATTCCAATTCTAAACTCCCTGCTCCCCAACCATTCCAATTCTAAATTCCCTACACCCCAACTATTGCAATTCTAAACTCCCTGCACCCCAACCATTCCAATTCTAAATTCCCTACACCCCAACTATTCCAATTCTAAACTCCCTGCTCCCCAACCATTCCAATTCTAAATTCCCTACACCCCAACTATTCCAATTCTAAACTCCCTGCTCCCCAACCATTCCAATTCTAAATTACCCAACCATTCCAATTCTAAAGTCCCTACACTTAAACTATTCCAATTCTAAACTCCCTACACCTAAACTATTCCAATTCTAAACTCCCTACACCCCAACTATTCCAATTCTAAATTCCCTACTCACCAACTATTCAAATTCTAAATTCCCTCCTCCCCAACTATTCCAATATTGCCCCAGCTCACTCACTCTTGCTCTCCTTAAAGATGGGGTCCATCTGATGCGGGCCAGGGCCTTGGCGAGGGGGGTTGCGGCTGGCCCAGGACTCTGCCTGCTGCTCAGCCTCCTGCTGTCTGAGCTGCTGGTCCACCTGCTGCTGCCAGGCCTCTGGGGTCAGGTCCGAGCTGCGCTGCCATGAGCCCTGCTGGGAGAGGGGGTCAACTGGGGCCTTGGCTTGGGAGACATCCTGGCCGTGGTGCTCATTCTTGGCCTTGTTGACCAGGAGCTGGCCTGGGCTTGGCAGCAAGGGTTCCTGGACCGGAGGGCCTGCCTTGTGTCCTGGTTCCTAACGCAGAGAGAGAAGGCACATCAGTTATTTAGTGGTGGTTGTCTCAACAACCTATGGCTTAACATAAGCACAGGCAAAACAAATCCAGCATGCATACAAATAACACTACCAAGCACAAACATACCTACGCTACTAGCATGCTCAAAACAAGAACAAAGGTAAAGGGAATAAATCACTGCCATCTACAAAAGGCCCTACTTGTGATATCCAACACTTACTTGAGCATCCTTGCCACTTCTGTCCGGCTGGACGTATCGCATCAGAGCTGTTTTAGTGCCAACCTTCAGGGATCCCTGAAAAACAGGAAGAGAGTGAGCTAGATTCAAACTGAGGAATCTGCTTCCTTGCCAACCAAGTGACTCACAATTCTAAATGTTCCAAGAGAATAACAGACTCCCATCATGCACTGTGGCAGGTTTAGTCCTCCTCAGTGGTGAGGGTAATGGAGACAACCATTATGGTTCTGACAGGTATATGGAACTTAGATCGACCAATACCTTCCAAGGTATTTCCTCCATGCTATAGCATTACTGTTTACCAGGAGGTGGAAATTCAAACTTTTCTCATGTACAGTACTTTGAGGACATTATGAATTTCATATTAGTGTCTTACTAGATAAAGCTATATTCTTTGACAGTATAGGGCTTAAATTTGTACTTCAAAAATGTGTACTTAATCCAACATGAAATTCAATATACCATTGTGTCGGCAGTGCACTGTAAATGTATCTGACACTCATTTGCATAAAGGCATGACTGACATGACTGCATGATTTGACATGCAAGCTGTAGGTTTGTAGACTCAACATCTCTGGTTTAACTAATATAAGTACATCTTCAATAGTGAGTGGCAGTTATATCTACAATAACCCCAACTTGCTGAGTTCGGTATCGTTAACAGGGTTAAGATCGTAAGACCCAGGCACCAAGACGAGTGTATTTTAAACTTTTTCTGTTGTCGTTGATGGGTAAAGATACAGCTGACTGCATGAAACAATTGAGAGGAAGCTCTAGAATCAATATCGTATGTAACCAAATTTGTTTTACTAATTGAAAATCATAACCATTGTATCGTAGATCCAAAACCATTGTAGCAACCAGCTACCCAATGGGGTAAATTAACATAGAAGACAGATCAAAGGAACACGTAACACCCATCACTGGTTCTGCTTCTTTCCAGCCTTGAGCAGAGCCAGATATGGCTCTGGCCTTGATGATGATCTGTTGCTTGAGATTGTAGTGTCACGATTCCTTCAATATGGGAACCAGATTCGGCCAATATGGTTGGGAGAATATCAGTTATCTATACCCTAAATCTATACACATGGCATGCACCACTGACATTCAACTGTGCTACCACGGCTAAAAACTAACCATTGCAGGCTGCTGATACTCTACATGGCTATATACCAATGTGACCAATAGAAAGGTCTCACACCAAAAGGAAAAGGTGAGCCAAGAACTGTGGTCAAGAGAAAAGAATCCTCTGCTGTCAAGTGAATGGGCATCAAGAGGATTTATACTTGTATTTAGCAGGCAAGAGTGGATCTGATGTGGAGGATGCATTTAGAGATGGAGTCTATCCATTCAGCAATGCAAAGGAATAACGTTACCATGGTTGCTGCACAGCTCTCTCTGTGTAGAGAAAGATGAATGGAATAGAACATTGTCCACTTGTTGAGATCAAGGAATGAGTAAAACCCCCAAGACACAAACACAGTCACAGAGTATTCTAGAATGTACATAGTAAGTACCCCCAAGACACGGAGGTAAAGTTGGGCTTGTGGACAGCCAAAGGTGATGGCAAGATATTGCCAAGAAGGAAGAAGTCAAATAAAAAAAGGGTCACAGCAAACTGTAAACAGATCAACTTTCCAATATTGCCACCAAAGGACCGTTGAAAGGATAATGGCCTTCACCAAAGTTAAAAGCAACTTCTCATGTACATTTAAGTTCTGTGCAAAGTTGAGAAAGGAAAAAAGAAAACTGAGTAGGGACATGAATGCTAGCTCAGGAATGGCTGACTTACTCGTGTAAGCACAACCCATTTCCAAAGCAGTAGTCAAAATGTTTTTAATCTATTGAGCTTCAAGTGCCATAAATAACTTTATATTGGAATATATAAATGATTCAAAGCTAGACATAATATTATCTAAACTGAGTAGTCTGTGATCGGAAAAAGACCTTATGATCCTTAGTATATTATTCTGCAGGTAATACCCAAAACACCAATAGCTACTATTCCCAGCATGATAAAAACAATGTTAAAATGACGCAAAAAAACAAAAATATGAAGGATCTGCCATTGCTATCTAAAAATGAACAGATATCACTGTAAAGAAAACCATCCAATTAAGACTTGGATGGACAGAGGACCAAGAATCCAGGAACAAGACCCATTATGATAATATGCCCATGGGCTTCAGGAACAAGACCCATTATGATAATATGCCCATGGGCTTCAGGAACAAGACCCATTATGATAATATGCCCATGGGCTTCAGGAACAAGACCCATTATGATAATATGCCCATGGGCTTCAGGAACAAGACCCATACAACGTGTCCTATTTCTTATTCCATGTATCTAAACATTTACCTCATTTATTGTTTTGAGACTTAGTGCATTTTTTTCTCAGAGATGGTTTTCTTTGTTTTCGTTTCTAAATTCATTCCGATTTAAGCTGATTACATTACGCCAAACACATCTGGAGAATATTGTTGGAAGCGGTTTCTCTTTTTCTTTTCTTTTCAATGCCAAGTGCATCACCAGAAGCACGCCTCCTCTTTGACCTCATTATTAAACTATTGTTGTGCGAAGTCCCCTTGAACCTACGCCAACGATGTCAATTCACACACCCACAGATAGGGAGTAACTCCCATAAATGATCCCAAACAATAACCAACCCTGATCCCACCTCTCCCTCTAACCCTTCTAAAATGCCCGCCCCCAGCCCAAGCCTTCTTCCTGCCCGAAGGCACAGCCGACGTAGAGAGATGAGGATGGGCCACCTGGTTGGATTCCATGAAGTGGACTGCATCCTCGAGGTTTAAAAACTCCACATAGGCCGTATCGTAGCTGTAACCTGGGGACAGCATTTGAAATACAGATGGATTTGCGTTAGTCAATGCCAGTAAGGACAGCAGTTCACGAAAGGAGATCACATTCAGCATTTTTGTGGTGATGGTGTAGCATTTCGATGAATACATTGGGGGAAATCGAACATTGTCCTAATTCTTCATTTTTTGACATGTATGCCAATCTCTCCATTGACACATACAGTACCTTTGCAGCACAAAATGCATTTAAGTCATTTATCTTGTATCTTTGAGTTGGCAATGTTGTCCTTATTTAAAAGCCAGTACCAACATATTTTCCAGATCCAACTATGGACTGAATGTTGTCTGTAAACATACTCCCAAGTACGCCAACTACAGCATACTTAAATGTCCCTAAAAGGTAAGTTCCTGCAAGCATAGCATAACCTAAGTGCTACTAAGGTATAGGCCTACTGTGTATGAAAGAAAGTATGGATTGTCTTGCTGCATTTTAAACCTGCCATAAAACTTTGTCACTCAGAAACTTGGTATTGTAGCTTCTCAGGAATCCAAAATGTAACGTAGATGGCTGATGCAGTCCTACAATCAAATAATTGAGAAAACTTTCGTCTAAGCTGAATGACGAGAAAAGCAACACCAAGAACCTGAAGTACTTACATAGTAGTCTGTAATATACATTTGCTGCCTATATTATTTTGTAATCAATTAGTTTTTTGTTTCAATAAAATAGAAAATGGTGTATAAGGAAACAAATGAGGTGTGAACAACATAAGAGATTGCGTGTCATAAGAACTTTAGTGGCTGATAGTCACTGTCAAAGGCTTCTGCATTGAGGATGAAAGCTTCAACAAAAAAATTGGGACAGTGTTCCTACATTGTCAGGAATGAAAAACACTGATGGCTAAATACTTAGAAAACTTGGCTGTTGAACTGATGAGCGATTGCATCAAGATCGAGAACATCGGAGGCAACAAAGACACTTTGAAAAGAATATGAGCGTATGATTGGAATAGCGAAATAGCGAAACAATTCGTAGGAGATTTCGAGATATCGTTCGAGTTGAGCATGTCCACACGGGGACTTTTGTCTCACCTGGCACAACATTCTTGATTTTCATGCCCTGCATTGGGACACCATCACGGACTGCAAAGGCACCAAGGATCTGCAAGATAATTAAATATTGTTAGGCTCTACCTTAAAAAAAAACACACACCTATAGGTATATAACTAAACTTCTACCATCTAACTAGATGATTTTGTGCAATCAGAAAAGTATCAAGACAAAAGCTAAATGTCTGTGTTTTGATTCCTACCTGCTCCATTGTGGCTGTCTTAGGAATTCCAGTGATGCAAATTGTATGAGTAACCTTGTCCTTCACAGACGCACTCCGGTAATCCTGATCCTTTAGTTGACAGTTCAAATTTAAATAACAAGTTAAAGCAATTGAAATTCACATAACTGACAAAATGGACAACCAACAGATGTACAAGAACATTTGTATGGAATTTGTATTTACATGCATAAAAATGTTTTACATTTTCTATGGGGTTTAGTCTATACATTTGCTTTACTAACCTGGGAACCAGAGTCACTGAATTTTGGAGGCGGGACTGGTTTTGATTCCTTTAGAACTTTGTCGGGTCCTGGCAGCTCCTCATGTTTGTAGTCAAAGACTATCCCTGGACCTGTTCTGTAATCAATGTCCCTGTAGTCCTGGTCTTTGCCTTGGAAGTCTGGCCCTGGAACCAGCTTAACTCTCTCTGGGCCTTGTTCAAGCATTGCCTCCTTCGGCCCTTTGAAACGAGTGTTATCGTTTGGCCCCTGGCCCAGTGGAGTTGGTGGAGTCTTCTCTAGGAGGTATGGGGGCCTGTCCTTCTCCAAGAGGTATGGGGGTCTGTCACCTCGATTTGGTGCATTTTGATTCTGCTTGGGATCCCCATGTTCGGGCCAGCGCTTGCCGTCATTCTCTCTGTTTGGCATGTTTGGCAGGAGCCCAGGACCCATGGGTGGAAACGGAGGGTCCTGAAGACCTCTACGGCCAAAAGGTGGCAGATCCATGCCAGGGATATCTGTGGGTGGCTTTTTATCCCAGGTCTGGGAACCTGGAGCTTCTCTGTTGGGGCGAGGGAAGCCAAAGGGAGGGCCATCTTTTTTCCCAGGGAATTCTGTAGATGGCATGTTCCTTTCTTTAAAGTTTGCCGGCTCTCCAAGAAGACTGCCTTCTCTGGACACTGGAGAGAATCGCTGACCCTGCATGTCTTTGGGGAAAGGAGGAAGACCTCTGGTCATGGGAGATGGAAGAGAGTCCTTATCCTTTTTACGGTTCTTCCACTCCTCTGCAAGCGACACCTCTTCCATTTCTGGGAATTCTCTGTCTCTAAGGGTGCCTTCTGGATCTGTACCCATAAATTTGGGTCTGTTTGGGCCACCAAGATCTGGAGGGCCACCAGGCCTTCCCCTGACATCCATTGGAGCACCATCATTGTCTGCAAATCTTACGGGAGATCTATCCCTACCTCTGAATTCTGCTGGAGGTCCAACGCGGTTTCTGAAGTCCGTATCAGACTCAAATCTTTTCCTTGGATTCAATGGAGGAGCACCCCTCCTGTCAAAGTCCATCATTCCCCTGTCTCGATCTCGTGGAGGCATGTCCATATTAAACCCATCAATGTCATCCATGCCCATCGGGGGCCTGTCTCTATCACGCATGTCTCTGAACCCCTCATTTCTACCCATAGGCTCCGTGGGAAATCCTCCTCGCCTTCCATCCATGTCTGGATTGTTGAAGCCTGGCATATCCTTGCGGAACATCTCCCTGTCTCTCATGTCCATAAATCTGTCATTTGGCTCTCGTAGATCTCGTGGAGGCATGCCTCTCCCTCCCATGCCTCTCCCCCTCATATCTCTCCCTCCCATTCCCCTTCCCCCCATACCTGGCCCAGGCCCCATGAAACCACCACCAGCAGCTGCATTTAGCAGCTTGTCTCTGATTGACATTTCATACTGCCTTCTGAGGCTGAAGTCTGGTTCTTCTCCAGGTCTCCCCAGGAAATCCCTGGGTGGTTCTCCTCTCCCTCGTATGTCATGTGGTTCCATATCCCGGTCCCTCATATCAGACGGGCCCCTCATATCAGGTGGACAGTCCATCCTCCTCATGTCCATAGGAGGCCCCCGATCCTGTGGCCCCCTGGGACCCATGTTCATTCCGTCTCTACCCCTGAAATCATGCATAGGGCCATCTAGGCCCCCAAACATTTCTCCTCGATTGTCCCCACTGAAACAAAAATAAAGTCAGAATTCATACTTTGGGCTCTAAATACTGACAAACATTTTAAATTGAGTACCTCTCAAATCAAGTAATAAGAATGTAAAAACATGAACTTTTTCTTGCAAGAGTTTTTCTATGCCATTGCCACCGTCTGCTTACCGAAAGGGTGGTCTCCCTTGTGGTCCTCTCCTGGGTCCTTCCCACATAATTTTCAAATAACCAACTTATCTGACAGAGTAAAAAGATGTCATGTTAAATCCCAGACAGTAACTTAACTCGAATGCATTGTTTCTTTCAGACAGCATAGATACATTTACATTTTAGTAATTTAGCAGACGCTCTTATCCAGAGCGACTTACAGTTAGGTAGTGAGTGCATACATGTTTTTTTGTTTTGTTTTTTCATACTGGCCCTCCGTGGAAACGAACCCACAACCCTGGCGTTGCAAACGCCATGCTCTACCAACTGAGCAGATACTCCTGCTATATGGAGATGGATAATAATCTGCGCAAATTAAAGTAAACAAAAACAGTTATGCTACTACAAAGGGATATGGTATTGACACCAAAGTCTGCATCAACGACCATCTTTATTTAGTATGTTGTGCCAATGAATGGTTTCGCTAGCACGCTAACGTTAGCAATGTGACATGGGTATAAAGCTAGGGCTGATACTTGTGTACTAGCTAGCTAAATCGAGTAAGCTAGTAGCTAGCTCCATTCAGTCAATATTTACTACACCATTTGTTGTTCAGTTGAAACCAGCTAGCTTACCATCTGGCCAGCTATCAAGTATGTGGATAAAAAACAACCAAGGTAGACGATGACGTGCATTGCCAGATAATGACGACGTTTCATCTAGCTAACTATCCGTGCTGGCAACCATTTCTAGCTAGCTACAGTAACGTTTAACTGTCTCATCGGCTTTGTTTTCCAAGCCACGAGCCAGCGATATAATGTTTTTATTTTAGTCCAGATGTTGATATGAGCATTACATAATCATATTTCATCAATTCCTACGTATTTTTCATAGGGGAGACTCACCTTGATATATCTTCTGCGAAACAATCGGGGAATAAATGGAGACCGGAAGGTTTAAGGCACCAATATTTCCGGGGAGGGGTAACTTTTTAAGGGAATTGTAGTCCTTTGAGAACTACAGTATCCACTAATTGTACCAAGTATACCATCTAGTTAAAACAGAATTATGTATATAAATCCTGGATTGCTGGAGGACCAAACCTGACGTAATTAGAATTAAAAGAATAAATAAATAAATGCACACAAATATATTTAAAAAACACACTGAATAAAAATATAAACGCAACATGTAATGTGTTGGCCCCATGTTTCATGAGCTGAAATAAAATATCCCAGAAACTTTCCAGACGCACAAAAAGCTTATTTCTCTAAAATGTTGTGCACAAATGTGCTTATATCCCTTTTAGTGAGCATTTCTCCTTTGCCAAGATAATCCATCCACCTGACAGGTGTGGCATATGAACAAGATGATTAAACGGCATGACACAGGTGCACCTTGTGCTGGGGACAATAAAAGGCCACTCTAAAATGTGCAATTTTGTCACACAACACAATGCCACAGATGTCTCAAGTTTTGAGGGAGTGTTTAATTGGCATGCTGACTGCAGGAATGTCCACCAGAGCTGTTGCCTGAGAATGTAATGTTCATTTCTCTACCATAAGCCAACGTCATTTTTGTGAATTTAGCAGTACGTCCAACCGGCCTCACAGACCATGTGTATGGCGTTGTGTGGACGAGCGGTTTGCTGATGTCAACGCTGTGAACAGAGTGCAGCATTGTGGCGGTGGGGGTTATGGTATGGGCAGGCATAAGCTATGTACCACGAACACAATTGTATTTTATCGATGGCAATTTGAATGCACAGAGATACCGTGACGAGATCCTGAGGCCCATTGTTGTGCCATTCATCCGCCGCCATCACCTCATCTTTCAGCATGATAATGCACAGCCCCATGTCGCAAGGATCTGGAAGCTGAAAACGTACCAGTTCTTCCATGGCCTGCATACTCACTAGACTTTTCACTCACTGAGCATGTTTGGGATGCTCTGGATCGACGTGTACGACAGCGTGTTCCAGTTCCCGCCAATATCCAGCAAGTTCGTACAGTCATTGAAGAGGACTGGGACAACATTCCACAGGCCACAATCAACAGCCTGATCAACTCTATGCGAAGGAGAGGTGTCGTGCTGCATGAGGAAAATGGTGGTCACACCAGCTACTGACTGGTTTCTGATCCATGCCCCTACCTTTTTTTAAAGGTATCTGTGACCAACAGATGCATACAGTGGGGAAAAAAAGTATTTAGTCAGCCACCAATTGTGCAAGTTCTCCCACTTAAAAAGATGAGAGAGGCCTGTAATTTTCATCATAGGTACACGTCAACTATGACAGACAAATTGAGAAAATAAAATCCAGAAAATCACATTGTAGGATTTTTAATGAATTTATTTGCAAATTATGGTGGAAAATAAGTATTTGGTCAATAAAAAAAGTTTCTCAATACTTTGTTATATACCCTTTGTTGGCAATGACACAGGTCAAACGTTTTCTGTAAGTCTTCACAAGGTTTTCACACACTGTTGCTGGTATTTTGGCCCATTCCTCCATGCAGATCTCCTCTAGAGCAGTGATGTTTTGGGGCTGTCGCTGGGCAACACAGACTTTCAACTCCCTCCAAAGATTTTCTATGGGATTGAGATCTGGAGACTGGCTAGGCCACTCCAGGACCTTGAAATGCTTCTTACGAAGCCACTGCTTCGTTGCCCGGGCGTTGTGTTTGGGATCATTGTCATGCTGAAAGACCCAGCCACGTTTCATCTTCAATGCCCTTGCTGATGGAAGGAGGTTTTCACTCAAAATCTCACGATACATGGCCCCATTCATTCTTTCCTTTACACGGATCAGTCGTCCTGGTCCCTTTGCAGAAAAACAGCCCCAAAGCATGATGTTTCCACCCCCATGCTTCACAGTAGGTATGGTGTTCTTTGGATGCAACTCAGCATTCTTTGTCCTCCAAACACGACGAGTTGAGTTTTTACCAAAAAGTTATATTTTGGTTTCATCTGACCATATGACATTCTCCCAATCCTCTTCTGGATCATCCAAATGCACTCTAGCAAACTTCAGACGGGCCTGGACATGTACTGGCTTAAGCAGGGGGACACGTCTGCACTGCAGGATTTGAGTCCCTGTCGGCGTAGTGTGTTACTGATGGTAGGCTTTGTTACTTTGGTCCCAGCTCTCTGCAGGTCATTCACTAGATCCCCCCGTGTGGTTCTGGGATTTTTGCTCACTGTTCTTGTGATCATTTTAACCCCACGGGGTGAGATCTTGCGTGGAGCCCCAGATCGAGGGAGATTATCAGTGGTCTTGTATGTCTTCCATTTCCTAATAATTGCTCCCACAGTTGATTTCTTCAAACCAAGCTGCTTACCTATTGCAGATTCAGTCTTCCTAGCCTGGTGCAGGTCTACAATTTTGTTTCTGGTGTCCTTTGACAGCTCTTTGGTCTTGGCCATAGTGGAGTTTGGACTGTGACTGTTTAAGGTTGTGGACAGGTGTCTTTTATACTGATAACAAGTTCAAACAGGTGTCATTAATACAGGTAACGAGTGGAGGACAGAGGAGCCTCTTAAAGAAGAAGTTACAGGTCTGTGAGAGCCAGAAATCTTGCTTGTTTGTAGGTGACCAAATACTTATTTTCCACCATAATTTGCAAATAAATTCCTAAAAAATCCTACAATGTGATTTTCTGGATTTTTTTTTCTTAATTTGTCTGTCATAGTTGACGTGTACCTATGATGAAAATTACAGGCCTCTCTCATCTTTTTAAGTGGGAGAACTTGCACAATTGGTGGCTGACTAAATACTTTTTTCCCCCACTGTATCTGTATTCCAGTGGAGGCTCCTCAGAGGAGGAAGGGATGCACCATCCTCCTCAGTGAATTTAATAAAAATAAAAATGTAAAACATTGAAAAAGTGATCCTTTTTAGATAAAACTATACTAAATATATTCACGTCACCAAATAATTGATTAAAACACACTGTTTTGCAATGGTCTACAGTAGCCTCAACAGCACTCTGTAGGGTAGTACCCTTGTGTAGCCGGAGGACAGCTAGCATCCGTCCTCCTCTTGCTACATTGACTTCAATACAAAACCTAGTAGGCTCTTGTTTCTCACCCCCTTCCATAGACTTACAGTAATTATGACAACTTCCGGAGGACGTCCTCCAAACTATCAGAGCTCTTGCAGCATGAACTGACATGTTGTCCACCTAATCAAAGGATCAGAGAATGAGTCTAGTACTGAAAGCATAAGCTACAGCTAGCTAGCACTGCAGTGCATAAAATGTGGTGAGTAGTTGACTCAAAAACAGAGAAAGACAATAGTTGAACAGTTTTCAACAAAATAAGTTCTTCAAAAATGAAGGAGAAGCAAGAGAGAGAAAGAGAGAGATTGTCATTTTTTTTCACTTTCAGTTTCACTTACTTTAGTTACTCAAACACCCAGCTCAAACAGAGGGATGCTATGTTAGCTAGCTGGCTATGACTATCCAACACAACACTGGAAATCTTCCAAGTCAAGGTAAGTTTTTGGTTTTATTAATTTATTACCACCGGGGCCCGCTGGTGTAACTGCTTACTGACAATACACTGTAACGTTACTGCATGATTGTAGCTGGTTTACTAATGCATTAGTTCTATTAATGTTAGCTACAGGGAGGAGGTGAGGGCTCTGGGAGTGTGGTGCCAGGAAAATAACCTCTCACTCAACATCAACAACACAAAGGAGATGATCGTGGACTTCAGGAAACAGCAGAGGGTGCACCCCCCTATCCACATCGACGGGACCGCAGTGGAGAAGGTGGAAAGCTTCAAGTTCCTTGGCGTACACATCACCGACAAACTGAAATGGTCCACCCACGCAGACAGTGTGGTGAAGAAGGCACAACAGAGCCTCTTCAACCTCAGGTGGCTGAAGAAATTTGGCTTATCACCTAAAACCCTCACAAACTTTTACAGATGCACAATTGAGTGCATCCTGTCAGGCTGTATCACCGCCTGGTACGGCAACTGCACCGCCCACAACCGCAGGGCTCTCCAGAGGGTGGTGCGGTCTGCCGAACGCATTACCGGGGGCAAACTACCCGCCTTCCAAGACACATACAGCACCCGATGTCACAGG